CTTTCAATTTTCAAGGATATTATTTCAATTATTTCAATTATTTTTATTGTAGTTTGATCAATTACCCATTGCATCTTGTCGCATTCCAGTGACTGCTGACATGTTTGACGCCGAGTGCGACATTGAGAAAGGCTGAGGCATACTTGGATATGACGTTGCTCCCATCTGAAATTAAAATTGCATATTCTAAAGGATTCCGCTCGATTAAGAATTCAAAAAATTAAAAAAAAAAATGAGATTTTATTAAATAATTATGGGGAAACGTAGAGGTCATATTCATAAAATAAATATAATGAAATAAATCTTTCTGAAGGCGCAATAAAAACTGAGTGATAATCAATGAAAAACCATAATCTAAAAAAATAAGATTTTGTTAAATAATTATGGAGAAACGTAGAGGTCATATTCATAAAATAAATATAATAAAATAAATCTTTCTGAAGACGCAATAAAAACTGAGTGATAATCAATAAAGAACCATAATCTAAAAAAATAAGATTTTGTTAAATAATTATGGAGAAACGTAGAATTCATATTCATAAAATAAATAGAATAAAATAAATTTTTCTGAAGACGCAATAAAAACTGAGTGATAATCGATAAAAAACCATAATCTAAAAATGACTAATAATTGAATACGAAAGATGATTAATATAATTAATAAATTGTCCATGAGCGGTAAATGGCGGGTGCTCAATCGCTCAATATTGTAATAATAATTAATAATTTAGTAATGATAATACAATAGTCATGCACAAAGAAGTATTGAATGAAATATTTATGGATGAAATATATATTGGAATAGTTGGAAATTGAAATGCCGAAATGTCGGATTTTTCATATTTTTGGATGTAGTCGTGATCATGTATGCAGATTATTGGCTCAATTAAATCAGCGGGCTTTCAGTAATCCGTACGGCCGGTACTAATTACTTGAAATGCAATTTAGTTAGGTGGAGGGCACACACCGACGGATCGTGGCCCCACATAGTGGCCGACTTGAGCCGTATCAATTAGTACTCGTTAGGGTCATGTGTAACCCGCAAAACCATAAGTCTCCATCAGGAGTTATCATTTTTATATATATTTTTTTTCAGAATTATTTTTTTTTCTTTAGCTTCTCCGTTGATCATTTACCTGGGGATAGCGGTTTATGCCATTTATGCTATTGTGCGGATGTGCGTAAGGCTGATATCCTCTTCCGGCTCCTGGGTATATATTCCTCATCATTGCTCCTTGACATGCTGGTATCGGGGCCAATGCTTTTTGTAATTGTTTCTCTTGTTTCCTGTACTTTGCTCTTCTGTTTTGAAACCACACCTGCAACAGTTGCAATTTATTCATCATTTTTATTGATAAACCAATGATTTTATCCCCACACTCGAGATTTTCCACGTCAACTGAAATTCCATTCAAAATAAATATCGCAAAATCCTTGAATATTGAATATTTTTTAAATATCCTCCAAAATTTCTTAAACATTACAATTCACTGAATATTGATTATACCAAAAAAAATTCAATTTTCTGAACATTTTATTTTTGTATAAAAAATCTGACTCAATATTTTTTATTTACAATAGGATAGAATATTAAATATATTCCAGTGAATTGATTCCAGAGAAATATTTTTTTTTAATTATACGATCTCGTTGGGCTCGCCATTTTGGTGCGTTGGAATTTTCGGTTGTTTCGCGGGGATTAGCGCGTAGGGAAAAAGGGGGTTGTCTGATAGGGTGGATGATAGTAGTGTTGTAGGAGGGTGGATGGTTGCCGGGGGAACCACCACTGGGATAGACTGTGCACCAGTAAAAGGACGGTTACCCCCGTCAGGATGGACTATCTCTCTCATTTTAACTCGCCCCCCATCAGATGGGGTAAGAAAGAGCCGACGGGAAATACACAGTGGGTGGGGTATTTTCCATCCCTCTCATCTCCACCCCATCCAACATCCCGCCTCGTTGAATTTCAACCCGATATGACGTCATCGGGCTCGCGCCATTGGCCGACAGTTGGCGCGTGACGTCAGCCACGAAAGATTTCATTGGTGGGTGCGTTTTATCGACATTTCTACCCCAAATGGTTTAGCCCATCTTCCCAACACCGGATTCTGAATGCTCGTGGTGAAAAATCTAGGGATTCGGGATAATATGGCGGATGTCTGAAATTGACCGTTAATTCGGAGTAATTGGGG